ACAAGGTTTGTGGTAACGGATTGGGACGCCTTCTTCCGTCGAATCGAAAACAACACTTTTCAATTGATTCATAGCCCATTCGTAATTCATTTCAGTTTCTTCATGCAAGAAACACAAAGCCACGGTGAAAGACTTATGTGTATTGGTTGTACCGACTATATGTAGAAGTGGAAGATTAAACCGATTTGTCTTGTAAGTACAATCTAAGCCAAGAACAGTAGGAAATCTTCGAGCTAAGCGAATGGCATCTGGGCTGGCGAAGAAAAGGTTTTGGAGAGCTCCATTGGGTGCGGTGAGAGTTCGGAATGCCCAGTTGTGACCCGATATCAAGTCAAAGAGCCCCTGAATAGGTGTTCTACCATTCAACCATCGATCCCTATGTCGAGCACGGATGTTGTGGATGTCACGCAAGAGCGGTTCACAACCAGGTTCGACAGCGAGTAAAGATCGGATCTGACGAGCACGACATCCAGCAGCATAAAGTAAGTTGATTTCTGCTTCCATCTCGGGTGTAAATCGACGATAGACGGCCAGGTCGTGAGGTTTTTCAAACGGAGGGTGATTATGTACAAGTTTGGTGGGGATTTTGCTGTCCTGATGCACAAACCATCGGTTTGATTTTCCTCGGTAATTGAGTGAGATTTCAAAGCCACAGTTGGTCTTCTTTGTAGAAGTCGAGCGCTCCTTAGCTACAGATGGAACGACGTGACCAAGTGAACATCGGAGGTAGATTCGAAGGGTTCGCTCATGTTTGGTTTTATGGCTCTTTACGGCCAAGGCATATCCTTGATGTCGTGCAACAGCCTTCAGGTACATGAGACCGTTGGCCATCTCGAAAAACCGTTTGCCAACTTTAGGTGACTCCAGTAATCGTATCGGTGCAGCCCCTAGTAAATAACCACCACATCATCAGCTATCAATTGGGAAAACTCTACAAATCAAACAATGAGATACGCACCAATTGGTGGCCAGTCTTCATCTCGCTCTTTGAGAAATTCTTCTACAACACCATCTTCGTCTTCAACAACACCATCGAGATTTGGATTGTTTGTATCGGTTGTAGAAGTTGTGTTTTGAGTTGGTTGAGTTGAAGAAGACAACGTAATAGGATCAGGAGTTGTGTCAATTTTGTTGGTTAAACTCAATTGTGTAGTTATGATAGCAGATGTGGTGGTTAGGTCAGTTGAAGTTGAAGACGTGTTGGTTGACGTCGTGGGAATGGAAATCACAGTCGGAGTCGTGGTTATGTTGGTTGATCTGGTGTTTGATGTTACGGGAATGGAAATAGGAGTAGTCGATGTGGTGGGAATAGACAAAACTGGAGGTTCCATAGTAGTGGGTATCGATGAGGGATGTGGTGGTAAAGGGAAAGATGTCAAGTGCGGTATCGGATGGTTCATATAGAACGGATGAAACGGATATTGGGGAGCATTGAATGAAAACTGCTGAGATGATGGTGAACTACTAGGAATCGGAAAGTGAGGAGGGTACAAGTGAGATGAAACACTTTGAGGATTTCCATTCATCAGATGGAATGGATTAAGAGGTGGTGGATTGTAAGTTGGATAGAAAACGGGTGGTGGATACAAGTATGGTGGTATTGGCTGTTGTATGCATGGTGTGGGAATAGGGTGATCTTGGTTTATCGCCGGTTGTTGTGGTGTTATTTGTGGAGTGGGAATAGGGTGATCTTGGGGTATTGCCGGTTGTTGTGGTGTTATTTGGGTGGGCAGTTGTGTGGGGGCCATTATATGGTTCGCGTGACTTGTTTGTTGAATCACAAACTGTGATTGTAGATGGAGGAGGCTTTGGGGTTGTGGCTGGGGTTCTCAAGGTTTGAGTCCGTGATACAGACGGGCCATTGGCCCTCGGTAGAGTATCCTTACGGGAACTTCTTCGTTGTGCGTTGTGCTTCATGACCCGATCCCCCTCTTGCTCTGGGCTTGGGGGGCGGAAGCTCTTTTTGCAGCCCTGCTATGTGGATTCATAGCCCGGTTTGAGGGGTGGACAGCCCTCTCATTGTGGATGGGGGCTGTTAGGGCAAATAAAGGCGCTTGGAATGGGGCTTTCAGGTCCAAATAAGTTTGTGTAACTTTGTTTTGGCTCGAAGTTTTTGGAATTACCCAATATAAAAGGGGGCTTCGGGTTTTTTTTTTGCGGGCGTTAAATAGTGAAATCCTTAAAATAAATGAATTAAATTTTTAAAGTAAATCAATTGCAAAAAAACACGTTGCCTCTTCTAAAACTTGATTTATTAGTTTCTCTTATAAAAGTTAGTTTCTTTAAAGTTGTAAATGAATCTAACTATAACTTAAAATAATAATAATAATAATAATAATAAAAAGATTTTGCCTCGAATGATTCTTTGAAAGTGATGTGAGACTTATCTTCTAAAAGAGAGTGAAAGTAATAAAATGAAAAATAGAAAATAATTAATAATTTCATCTTGATCCTATAAATAACTCACCACAATGTTTGCCACTTTGCTACTCTGATCAACTTCATTGAAGGATGGCGCTGTCGAAACCAGGAAAGACAGACAAATTGTGTCCTGGCGCTTACGTCAAAACAGCAGAGAAGGGTTCCCCGCCTTCAACAATTATCACAACTGGCTTAGAGCTTTAACCATTTGCTGCCAACATTCATGATTGGCTCCCGTTCCCACTGGTCCACATCGCTCCCCCACCTGCCGGCTTTGAGTTCAACCCTCTATCTAACCACTTTGTACAGGACACATCCTGCCAACCACCAAACTTTCCTGATAAAGTCAGTTGACTCACGCTACCTCGAGAGGCCGGCATCGAAAACCATGTAGTCTTTGCAATGACCGCCTCTTCTCACTGGATCTTTCATGGCAAACTCTACAACAGGAAAGCAAGGAAATCCATCGAAGCCATTCAATCCGACCCTTCATGTGCTCCTAGCCACCGTGGGCAACAACGCCGTCACGAGTGGACCAAGAAGTGGCTTTGTAACTGTGCCGGTAAACCATCCAATCGGATTCAGCCAACAATCACAGGGAATACCAGATCCTCAGCCGGCTCAATACATGTTCAGTGTCCAGCTAAGTTTTTCATCTGCAAAACTCTCTACGGTGACTTAGAGTTCGAATGGTATTGGCAACACAAAAGACACAACCCGTATTCTATCGAAGACATGTGAAACATGCGTCTACCCAATGTCGTTAAAACTTGGCTCAACAAGCAAGTTATCTCTGACTTAACTTATTGATCAATCGCCAAGCTCAACTCGTGCCCCGACTTATTCCTGGTAAGCTATAGATTTACCGTCCATCGCGCGCCTTTAATCCGTTACTCACTGTTTTGCTTAGGATCCGGAATCTGAGTTGAAGATTGTCCCAGAGGCATTCAACATGGATTATCAAAAGTTCTACAATGCCATTAAGCAAGTGGAGGCTAAAACCAAATTTCTCGACTCCAATGTCGTACAATCCGTCATTCTATGGTGCCATTGTTTGAAGGAACGGGGTTGGCATGTCCTCAACGTCATAGATCAGGAAACCCAGCGCGTTCAAGTTTCTTTCCTATCTCCATGGCAGAAGGACCAACTGACTCGGCAGGGCGGCAATGTGCTATGCTTTGACTCCACGCACAACGTTTGCGCGGGCATCCCACAATGGCCTCTTGTTCGAATCAACTTGCTTACAGTAGTACTTTGCCATCCAGTCACTGGCAGTGGCATACCAGTAGCTTGGTTTCTGACGTCCCACGAGAAGGCGTTAGTGAAATCTCTTCTTGCTTAAAGTACTATCACTAACAAGAATGGTCTTACTTCGCAGCGAAAGCGTTACTCGACTCCTCACATGGCTGAGGGACAAGTTCCAACTATGCCCCCGCGCCTTCATGACCGATTGTGCACCCGCATATGCCAAGGCCGTTTATGACACATTTGGAAAATGCAAAGTCCCACCACGACACTACTTTTGCATTTTTCATGTCTCCCGAGCAATCAAAGCCAAGGCAAGGACATTAGTAAGCGGACCCCTCCACTACGTCATATGAAAGTTACTGACTTTTTGAGTCATAGGGTGGTGTCCTTGGTGGTGTTCAATTGCACAGGGACACTATGGCGGTCATCTATTCGTCTTGCTGGCAGGAGGCCTTCTTGCATTTCCGGACTAAGTACCGCGCCAGCAATCCGGAGTTTGCTCAATACTTTGAGCTCCAGTGGGTCACCAATTGTAAGTATAAATGTAAATTCGTAAACCCCCCACCCTCAAGCAAAAACTCAGCACTTATGCATCCCCTTAGGGCTACACACGTAAGTGCTGAGCTTGGCTTGAAAGCCGGAGGCTACAAACATAAATCCACCATGACACCCCTACTGTTTCAGCCACCAATGGTTGTAAATACGACTTCCTGGTTTGCCGTTGAGGGGCGTGGGGATTCAAAATTGATACTTCAAGGTGCTCTCTTTTTACAGTCATTTAAGAAAAGCTTGCCCTAAATCGCCCGCAAAACTCGAGCGAATTGGCGGGGAATTTGGGGCAAGCTTTTCTTAAATGACTGTATATCCGATGATTTGCCCTTTCTTTTACCTCCCACCGCGACGTATTCTATCTTTCCAGATTTGTCTCTCTGATCACCAGCATTCCCTAATGCATCGTCTTCCAAATTTCCGATTTCTCGCTTTGGTCTCTTATACATAACAACTTTCTGCCTTTTATTTACATAGATACATTATCTTCATCTTAATGCTATAACCTGCTATAACCGTAGCATTCACACTCTGCTGAAAATCTGTTTTGTCTCAGCTTTTGCTCTTTGTCTGACCAAGTACTCACTTCCCTCTTCCTATTTTGTCATCACAGCTTTGCCTCCACTCCCGACTCCACCGTAAGTAACCCGATCAAGCAGATATTCTTCATACTCATTTCTATTCCATCCCATATCCTCAGCCATTACCATTGTCGCGATGGGCCATGAACCCCTTTAGGAAATCATGCAGCTGTACATTGCCTTATATACTAATTTGTTGAACCTACTGTCTTACTACTTCCTATTTTGTCAAGTAGGGTGATACATGTTACTTCTGTAGGTTACCTCTCTGCTAACCTCATATCGCGTAAGGGCAATATTTTTTCATCCTGGCGCATTCCTTGTTGATCGTACATCAAGAAATCCACCTTTGAAAAGATTTACCCAATTCAATCACACTTACCTCGCATTTCGTAACTGGCGCTCGAAACGAAGTAAAATATCCCATGAGTTGAACAGTTTTCGTGTTCCACTGATAAATTGAAAAGAATGAATTGTATTAGCTTCCTCATCCAACTCCGACAGAAGAATGAACCTTGTAAACTCAATGGTAAAGTCAAGCCTTCCTTATCACATTCTTCTAAGATCAAAATTTAATACAAGTCATTTTTTGTCAAATATCCTTAGGGAATCGATCCTGAAGTAATACCGAGTACGTTTGAAGGAATGTTAGATCATGAAAGCCTATGAACGTTCAATGAATTTAAACAAATCGAGTTGAAAGGAATCGAATATTCATCTTCAACTAAAAAAGCAGTAAACGTTTACACAAGATTAGTAGTTGAGTCATTCTCAAGTACCACTGATCTCAAAAAGAAAAGAAAAACAGTTGATGCTAAGATTGTTGTGATTTTCTTCATTCCAGGAAAAACCAACAGGTCCAGAGGATATACATGATTTAGTTATGGAATGGGTCTCATGGCGTTTGGATACTTGTTGTATCTGGATCACGCTAAACAGCCGCAGAGGGCAGGCTTAATTTTTCATGTGAAACAAGCCTGATCTGAACTAGGCACACAACTGAACTAAGAAGAATAATTAAATAGATGAGTTCTGTGGGTGGTTAGTGCGTCTGACGCTCCTACCCTTTTTACAACAGGAGATTGATGATAGAAAAAATAAAAAGAATATAGCTTTAAGGTCTTTTGTACACTAATTTTTATTGATTGAAAGAATACTAAGTCGTTGCGTAATAAATTCTTAAATTTCTAAAAGATTTTTTCATGTAAATTAAAGTCGAAATAGTTGGGCGGGCGGGAGGTAAATAATTTATCTACTGAATTTATTTTCGTATGTGGAAAACTATCAGGATAGTGAAGATGATGGAGAATAGAGAATACAATTCTGAGGATGTAAATCTCTTGAGTCGAAGTGGGAATTAGGGAATTGATTCATCCTATTCATCCAAGACTTCTGTGACGACATTGACAACATCTTTTATGAGAGTAATAAAGATTGTTGCAAATCGTCTAAGAAGATTGGAGGTGGTGTGAGTGACCCGACTACTACACTATCCAAACTTTTCCCCCGACCCATTCCCATTCTTCAATACTGCGTACCGACTACTATGGATCAGATACAAGTGTTCAAAGTTACATGTATAAACAGATCAAATCAAGCATCAAAATTTTTAGAAAAACCTACATCAAATTCAGACCGATTTGGAATTTTGAAAGATTTGGTAACAGCAAATGAAGTTGAAATTATTGAAGTGATCACTTTATTACTTTGATTTTTGCTTCTTCACTCTTCACTTGCTCCGGGTTTTAAGCTTAAACATGTATCCGAAATAACTAGAATTTGCTTTGGTGATTCAGATGATGAAGATTGTTTAGCTTAGTTTAGTTTTCTTTCATCTTTTTCTTCAGAATTACTATCTTCAACTGATTTTTCTTTTTACTTAGTGTTGAAAATGGTCAAGGGATGGATGAAGCTGATGGATTTGCTATACAAGTTAATAGGTCTTGATTTATCAAAAGAATTCATGGTGATTACAATAATGTAGTCCAGTCACTTATTTGCTTTCTTTTGGTACCTGAAGTCATCATTTAAAATTTTTACAGCCTTACACAAATCATTGTTCAATTTTAATTTTCTTCGGTTAGATTTCCAATTTATGCTTTCTTAAATTTGATCAATCTTTGATTAATGGAGATGATGAATTCTCATCAGATTGAGTTTTATTTCTATAATGTATTCATTTTTCTCATTTCTGCATTCATCTTTCTTTACCACTTCATAATTTCTTTTTCAAATTTGGGTCTAACTGTGACTAAATTTCCTTAACTTTGATTCCTGGAAAACCTGTGGTCAGATTATCTTTCACATGAACATCTATATTTTGAAACAGCTTATAGATTTTACAATGTCTCACTTGGTTTTAATGATCTTCTATTGTAATTTTGACATATCTCTCTCTTAGTCTTCTTTCTGAATTATTGATATACCTTGAATCATATCCACCTTCATCTTCAATTTAATCACCTCCTTGCTGTGTATATATGTTGTGATTCCTTTCTACAATATTATAATTGCACTTGGATATAGATGTAATATAATGTTATTTCCATATAACAATTGAATCCTCTACACCCTGTACTTTGTCAAGCCTCTGTTCCAAGGGTCAAAATTTTTGAAGTCAGTGATGATGGATTGTGACCCTTGTAAAATCAGTGTGAGTACATGCATTCTACCTTATGTTTGAGTGGTACCAATTTTTTTTGTACCATGTAGAGTCTTGCTTACTTATTCAATGGATTTGTCAGTAGTTACTTTTCCCTTAAACTTGAAGCGTTTTTAAATGTTGGAGCAATTTAGTATCACTTCACTTGTCTCTTTAATTATGATACTACGTCCAGCCTCAATAAGTGTCTGATTGAGGATTATTGACTCTGGATATGATGAATTCAGAGGCGGGCTTGCCCGCCTAAGGTCTAGTTGTAAGTATTGCATGATTTTGGAAAGGGATATTGCCCTACAAGGAATCCATACAAACAACTTCACCAAGAGTTATCATTGGGACATCAAGTATAGCTTCTTAGGTTGTCATACCCTCCGTCATATAGACGATACAATCCAAGTCCTTGACAATAACGCGGAACCAGATTTTCGCCAGAGCGTCATCACAACCACACTCGGCTTCCGTCCCCAACAGTCAATGAAGTACCAGAACATTTCAAAAGGACTCGCTGAAACATATAGTGACGAAGACCTTGCTGACTTGGGTATCACCATCAAACCGCTTCTGAACAGCAAGGTAAGTTCCTCCGCAAATTGTCCTCAATTGCCTCTGTTAATTTGATCACAACTTTGTAGTGGCACGTGAGTTCCTTTACTCAACCAACAACCAATGATTACAAGGTCAAAACCACTTTGCCAAAGGAGGGCGCTGTTGGAACCGTCAACAACTGCACATGTCCCCATTTTGCAAAGAACAAGTCAGCATGCAAACACATGTACATAGTTGTCCGCCGTACTAGGGCGGTTCAAGTAGCCCTTTTACAGCCCTTTTTTAAGTTTTACATTTAGTTCGGGGGCTTTAAATTTTAAGTAAAATTTAAAGTTGGTGAACCACCTTTAGAGGTGGTTCACCATTTTGCGATCTGCTTAGTTGTCTTAAAATTTATAATTCTCTGCCGTGGCATCGTAAAAAAATCCGGTGCGAAGGACCAAAAAAAACCTTTTCTTTCTTTGGTTTTTTTTTCAGTGTTCCACTCGTGGTGCGTCAAACGCGTATTTTCATTAAAACAAATTGATGAAAAAAAAAAATCCTGACAAAAACAAGAGACAATTAAAAAAGCAAGGAAAAAAAGGCGCATTCGCAGACGGTGTACCTGAAAACGTAAAGCCATAAAACCTAATTATAAGTGCGTTCGCAGAGTCGCGATCAGGAATTTTAAGGATCGGACAACCCTAAAAAGACTGATCGCGACTCTGCAAACAGGTGGATCACAACTATTGACTTGAACCGCCCTAATATATTCAACATCCCCAAAACCACACTCACCAAAATTGACAACGGGGTCTCTCCGTTTCAATTTTGAGAGATTGTTCACCCTGTAGACATACAGGTCCACGCCGTTACATCCGTCCATCCAGATTCCATCCCATCTCCGCCCATCTTGCACACCGACCGTTCCTCCTCAGGATTGGCACGAAGCCCATCAACCTCCGGCCTTCCAAGCGGCACCTACCACAGTGCCCGTTGAATGCGTCCTCGACGTCGAGGTCACAGCTAGTGTGTACTTCTGTTCACATTTTGTTCACATGAGGGAGTTGTTTGTAACACATCGCGGCATCCCTTTGAAAAACACAAACAAAGGCCAACTTTTGCTCAGAGCTGAACAACAGTAGCTGTCCCCTTACTCAAAGTCCATCAGCTCCATCTCGTCATGTGAGTAGCCAGGAATCTTGTCGCAAGAGAAAGCCATGAATCCAGACCGGGGTGATGATGATGGGAGGATTGGTGATTTGGTATAGCTTGCGCGTCTTTGACGACCTACGGTGTGATGAGAGGTAAGACTTTACGTGAGTGCAAAGGCTTGGAAAGAGCTTGCTTGGCCATGAAGTATGACACTGCTTGTGCACCCCTCTTCTTCGCGTCTGTCATTCCGTCATCACTACTTGATCCAACAGTCGAAGATGGACTTGATGGATGTTGCTTGGTAGCAGCTTGTTGGGCCTGTAATCTGGCCACTTCTGTGTGTTCCTTCCTAATCATCTCCTCTTCAGCTTCTCGACGCTTAGCCTACCATTCTTTCCGAATCGTTAAAGCGTTCTCCTAAGCCAGTCGTTCTCGCTCTGTTTCAAAGTTGGCTCCTTGGAGCGCCTTGAAACGTCTAGCCTCAACTGTACAAGTCCTTCGTTCGAGTTCTTCAATCTTTGTCTTATGTTCAAGTTGAGCTCAATGGGCTTGTTCTTGCTCAGCTGGAAGCTGGATGTTAGTCGCCTCCAGTTGAGCATATGTAGCTGAGATGCGAGAATCTTGAGTAAAATCTGACTGATCATTCTTCAAGTCGTGCTCGTGCTGCACGCTTGGCCATAACTTTTGCTTCCTGAAGAAAAAGGAGTCCATGTCAGATGCCAATGAAAGTTTTAGTCAAGAGAATAAGACAAAAAAATGTACCTCTTCAGCTGTGATCTTCTCGGCTAGCTCAGCTCGAGCTTGCTCTTCAGCTGGGATTCTCGCCAATTCTTCCTCTAAACAAGCTTTTTCTTCGACTCCGAGTCGCCTCTGTTCTCGTATATTTTCTTCGAGTGCTGCTTTAGCCTCGTCAGCTAATTGCTGTTTTTCTTCTTCTAGTTGAATCATCATAGCTTGTTCTTTTTCTTCAATCTTGCGTTGCCTGTCTTGCATTTCATGTTGATGTTCTTTGATCTCACGTTGGTGTGCCTATCTTTCTCTTTCAATCTCCTCTGATTTTGCGTGTTGTTCTGCTTTGGCAGCTCGTTCATCTTAGTCTCAGCATCAACGCTTGGTCACACTCAGTATAGCTGTTGATTTTAGGCCAAAGGCCAAGTTTTGACTGTATGAGCCCTTGTCCCCAGTAGACGCTGAACATGGATATCGTTCGAAAACGGTTCAATTGTGAGCAAAACTTCAGATAGCACTGTGACCTCGACGTCGAGGACACCTTCAACGGGCACTGTGTACCGTTATGCTCCTATGGTACCAGCTCTTTTGCCCTATTGTTTGCCTGAACCTCCATTACCCCACCCTGCTGAACAAAGCTCAGTCACCCGAGGGACACCATCAGCAGCTGCCACACATAGCTATAACCCAGCCCACAACGAATTCACATCGCAATCGACCAGTGATGTAGACCAAAGCATTGTTATCTCTGAAACGCCACCCCCGGTCGCAGCCCGCACTCCTGCCTTTACTAGTTGACGAGTTTTCCTTGCGTCAGTTTGTCCAGCTGGAAGAGGTACAGCGGCTCCTGGGAGGCCATCTCCCGTTGCTGTTCGTACTACTGCCGTCGCCAACAGCTTCTCCCAACCCCGTTCAACTAGCTAAGGTGGCCAAATGACTGTTCCTCGCGAGCCGCAACAACTCGTCGGCGTCCACAATGTTGGTCCCTCCAATCACATAATGCAACCTTGCCCACTAGCTGTTCACAATTCTCCTGAATGATGGCTCCCTGAATCAACCAGGATGGCTCCCTGAATCAACCAGACTTGTAACAAACCACAACAACTGTACAAGTGATTCCTACATGGCTCAGCTTTTTACTAATCCGCACATGCTACAGTCTACACCACCTGCACATTGACCCGGCGTTGCGTTAGATTTTGTACGCCTCCGGCTCCCTACCCAGCATCCGCATTTGCTTTGCCCATAGCCGGGCCCTCCCGTCTTCCTGCAAGCAACTTGCCTTGATACACTAATTGGCCGTCTCCTTATCCTGCTTCGCATCGGCAACAACCATCAATGTATTACAATTTGTCCCCTGCCGACGTTGCCAACCGCATGCCGCCTCCACCACCCCCGAGCCAGTACCAGTTCTTGTTGAGCGCCACTGCTTTGCAACAACAACTCCAGCAACATGTACCACAAGTTGAACCCACCCCAGCACAATTGCCTAACACGTTTCACCGAGTTTGCTCTCCCAAAGTTACGCCCGCCCCCGTCACCACATCTCAGCTTGCACCACTGTCGACTGTATTTCACCTATATAGACAGCAGTAAAACTGCATTCCTTGACTGTTCTTAGATCCTTTTTCCCAACATTTCATATCCACTCGCGTCCAGTTACACATCACCCATGCTACATACCCATGTCTACCCAAATTTGAGAAGTCCCAGTCAATACGTGTTAACATTGGGCACACATCACCACCACCCACCAAGACCTACGCCGCATCAGGAGCACCATACCACAAACCAAATCTCGAATTCACCAAGTTCACGAACTACACCTTGGAGTCTCATCAGCTCAATCAATCGTCACTAAATAAATCGGCAGTGCTCAATATGGGACGCAACCGGCGAAAACTGGGAGGAACCATCACAAATGACCCGAAAAAAAAGAAGAAACGTGAAAAGAAGGCTGATCGTGAAGTTGAAGCAATTGCTGAAGCAACATTTATGAAGAAGGTTCAACTAACGAAACAATTCCTCCGCGGCCGGCCACATTATCCTCACGAGCTAGCAGGTGAAACGAGCGGATGCCCCCATGACGGCGCTAGCGATCAAGAACAACCTGATATTGATCAAATCATGCATATGAATGAAGGCGATCCTGATCCACCTTATGACGATGGCGACAATTGGGTTGATGTGGATGATTTCGATAGGGATGGAGCAATTCGACGCTATGTTCAAAAACATCGAGGATACCGTTATGCACAAAGGCGTGAACGCCTTCGACAGCAGTGGGCAGCCCTCGAAAACCAAATCACCAGTGTATACCTCGAGAACGAAGCTCTTACAGAGAATTGGACCACGAAAACTTCATACGTTGGTGATGCAAGCCCAGACTGCCAGTGTCACGAAGGTGTGTTTTATACACGCAAAGTAGATCTAATTGGTGTACTTGGTAAGTCTTTCTGAGTAAGATTCTATTGTATTGTATTCTAATCATTGAAACCGAACCGCCACCTTTATCTCAGGACGCTCAATCTCCCAAGAACTCAGATTCTGCCGCTGCTTACCTGAACCTGTCCAGCTTTTACATCAAGGTTATATAGCCGCTTCACCCACACGACCTGGGACAGCTTTTTCGATTCCACTATTACAACATCATCATAACTTGTGGCTCACGACGGTTTCGGCGACGTCAAGCTATATCGAGGGGCACCTCAACTTCCTCGACAGACGGTCAGGCAAACCTCTTTGGGCAAGAGGAGGACACGGCACTCGATGCAACCTTTCATACCCATTTTCCAACGCTACCCATATTTACACCCGTATTACTGTTCTCGCAAGGAAACTACTTGAAGAAGGGCTAGAACTGACGCGTTTGGACGTTTGGGCAGACACATGCCCTCGGTGTTTCGGACCGGCCCTTGAAGAAAAGAAGGCATCAGAGAAAGAGCCAGATTTCATTATATGTATGGACGGAAATTTTCAACATCGACATAATGTACTTGCCAGTAAAGACCAGCCCCACAAGAGTCAATACCCGTCGTTGTTTGTCAAGCCAAGCAAAATAACTCAACAAGATGCCCAACTAGCTGCCGCCTGTGCCGCTGGACCACCTGAAACACCCGAAGTAAGTCATTATTACTCTTTTTATCACGACTCATAATAAATTGACTTAATCATTTCGAACGATGAATCGCAGGACCCTTGTGCCGAAGCGCACAAAACTGCTAACGACACCCGAGGCTCTTCCACGTGGGACAAATGCGACGATACAGGTTTGTTTGCAGCGGCCTGTCGTCATGACGTACCTTTAGCAATGGCCAATATCTATCAAAGTGGCGAAAAGTATGTATTCATTTCATTATAAACATCGTCTACATCAACTGATTTAACCTCATCGAACAATCATTCAGAATGTTTTACCCGTTAAGCTTGATGAAGCATATCATGGACGACTTTCCTGACGAACGATTTGGTGTATTGTATGACATAGGCTGTCATCTTGACAAGCACATAAACCGGGTATGTTGATCCTACATAGTATTATAAATTTTCGCGTTGCTAACTGCTTTTATATTACAGCAAAATCTATTACCTGAGCATCGAGAAAGAATCATGTTGGGCACATCTGTGTTTCACGCTTATGTCCATACATGGGCATGTCAACTACTGTACAACCCCAGGTATCTTGATCATTGGGGTTTATCCGATGGCGAAGGCCTTGAAAGGAACTGGTCGTTCTTGTCACGCCTAATTGCAGGATTACGCACCTCAACCCGAATACACCGACTTCAGGCAATAGACATATTGGCCAAACACCTAGCCCGCTGTCTACAACTAAGCACATCTGATTGGCTCTTGAGACGGCTCGAAAAAACCTCCACCACCATCAAATAAGCTCAAGCGTCACTCAGCCATTGGACTCAACAACCTAATCCGTACAAAAACGGTGCCAAATACACGACAGCTTTTTTTCAAAAGCAATGGGATTCTGAAAGGAAAGCCAACATCGAGAATTCAAAAGACGTCAAGATTCGACACCAAATTGAATTAGGTAGACTGCTTTGTCTTGAGCAATTACAATATGAAACTTGGTAAGCACTCGAACCACAAGGTTCGTCAAGATAAAGCTTTCACTGATCCGTGCTTTGATCACAGGGCTCAGGATACCACACACGCAGATTGAGCCGCAGACAGACTCCTTCGGTATACCCTGATTGCCAACAAAATCGCTGACCAACGCAAGAAGGTTGGCTTACCCGAGTGTTTTACTCATCTACCTAGTAAGTGATAGATTAGGCCTCAAAGCATCGCCTGTCTCCGAATCATCCCTAATATCAATCTCTAGAGGAATCAATCGATTTATTGTTACAAGTTTGGTGGGCCAAAACGGAGGTACGTACGAAGTATCTGCATCTCAGGGCCGAACAACGGCCAATGGACCCAGCAAACAGAGTGGGTGGTAGCTCAACACTTGGTAAGCACCTTTACATATAGATGATAGATACGCCTGAACTGATCTCAAATTACTTCGCAAAAGGTCAACACGAAAAGGAACCTGTCATGGAGACCATTCAAAGAAGGACTCGGACTATGAAGAGAACACTAACAAGTTACAACAAACTGGCGCAAAGCTTTGCCGAAAAATACCCTGGACATCCAACTTCGCCAGTTATTGAGTACCTCGATCTTATTCAACTTGAACCCAATGACCCTTTCTGGAACAACGGAATTTTCACACATTCAAACGAACCATGGGCGTTGGATCATGCAACTCAGATGGGTATGAGATCTCTTGCTCGCCTGCGAAGAGGCCAGGAGGAGTTTCGCAGGGTGGGCTGGGAGGTACGAAGAGCCATGCGTTGGGCTACAAGTGCGTTTGATCGTGTGTGGACCATTGCGGAACAACTCATGAACAGCACTCCGGCCAACCTCCCAAATTCAATTCAACCGTTCATCCAGCATGATGTAATCAGTTCCGCTTCATTACGCGCAAAGGTGTCCATCGTGAAAGGTGCGGTTCACAATGAAGTGATGAGGATCTCAGGGATATCTTGCAGGTGGGATTTCAAAATCATGCAAGTGCTGATGAGGAGTGAAGCTCAGGCCGGCGACATCGATTTGATGAATCGTTGGAAGTGGCAGATTCAGAAGATGAAAGAACTCGAGTGGATCGACTTTGGGTCAACCAAAGCGGGTGACTTTGATCGTCTTATGCCTGTAGATCAAGTTAGACGCGATATCATACCCCAAGGTTATCTCTTTGGTGGACCTGAAGAACCCGAACACCCTGAAGAAGAAGATGATGCAAGTGCGCCCGGTGAGGAGGATTGGGAGTTGAGAATCGATCAAGGCATGTTGCAAAACGTGTTTGACGTTGTAGGAAATGAATTGGAGGAGCCTAATTGATACCTTGTAGTAGTTTTATATATGTTTTGTATCCTTTCCCTTGACAATTTTGAGTCTTCTCTTTTTCAAAATTTGTCGATCTTATTTTGATTGCAATGTAACGTATGTATGACCAAAGCAATTCCACAAAAGCATTTGAGAGGAGAGCAAATTCACCTTATATTGTGGGTTCCCGGAGGTGTCGAAAACACAAACATCGGATTTTCAATTGGCGATTGAGGATCAGGATGAGGTGTTTGGTCAGGATGTCATTAATGAACAATGTGCGTGCTATATGTACTCATCTGTACATATAGGTGAAGCACTTAGTGCTCCATACTCGACAGCTTTGAAAGACTTTTGAGTGAGTCGAAATAGCGGTCCGAAACACGATTTCCCGGCTTGAAACTGGTTTTCGACGGCGAAGATGACGAGTTAGAGTAAAAGTTCATTAATAAAAAATGACCGCCGTGCAAAGTAGCACTTAGGTCAACGCGCAATTACTGATTTTGCGCGATCTTCAAAGACTTCGTGTGACTTTTATGTCTGAGCAGGAGGAAAACACCTATTTTTTAGGATTGAAACTGTTTTTCGAAGGTGAAGATGGCGACATAGAGGTAAAGTTCATTGATGAAAAAGATCCGCCGTGCAAAGACGTACTTAAGTCAACGTGCACACACTGAATTTGCTCCATCTTCAATGTCTTGACGTGAGTTTAAAGTCTGAGCGGGATGAAAAATCTCTTTTCTTAAGATTGACACGGGAATTCGAAGGTGAAGATGGCGAGATGTAGGAAAAGTTCATTAACGAAAAATGACCGCCGTGAGAATTAGCACTTAAGTCAACGTGCAAACAACGAATTTGCGCGATCTTCATAGACTTTGTGTGAGTTTCATGCATGTCCAGCTGCCCAAAATGTAATTTCTAGGGATGATGTCCTCTTTCAAGGACAAAGATGAGGAGTGGTCAAAAAAAGTTATTAACAAAAGTTTTCTGAAATGTAGAGAAGTGCTAGAACTCACGCACATTCTGCCGATTTGCGTTGTCTTCGACATAATTGGGTGAAGTTTGTCCTTATATTTGTATATGATATCAAGATGATGACTTGTGCAACATTCAGGAAAAAAATTTCCGCACAAAATCGCCTTCAACCTCAAGAAGAAAGCGGAAATTCAACGTTTGCACGTTGAGTTATATACTTCCTTGGATTTCTGACAGTTTTCATTAATGACTTTTTTCATTAACTCTTCATCTTCACATCCGAAAGTGGTTTCCAATACTCAAAATGAAGGTATCTTCAATGGACTCAGGCAGTCAAGTGACATTGCGCCATTGAAGATGGCGCAATTTCGATAATTTCACGGTGGTTTATGTGCATCTTTGCACGGCGGTCATTTTTTATTAATGAACTTTCCTTACATCTCCTCATCTTCACCTTCGTTTTTGCGTTTCAATCATAAAAACGCGCTTTTTTCATCCCGCTCAGACATAAAACTCACACAAAGACTCTGAAGCACACGCAAATTCAATAAGTGCAAGTTGTATCAAGTGCTATTTTGCTCGGCGGTCATTATTCATTAATGAACATTTACTCTATCTCGTCATCTTCGCTTTCGAAAACTAGTTTCAATTCTGAAAAATGAGCTTTTTCATCCCGCGCAGGGAGTTAAGTCACATAATGCCATTGAAGATGGCGCATATTTGATAATTGCACGTTGACTTATGTGCTTCTCTGCACGGCGGTCATTTTTCATTAATGAAGTTTTCTCGCATCTCCTCATCTTCATCTTCGAAAAAGAGTTTTTTCATACCGCTCAGAGACAGAACTCACACGAAGTGGTTGAAATGTTATCACGACTCTTTCTCCTATTTTGGTCACTCTTTCACCATCAAACTCAAACACCTTTATCATCTAAGGATATAGCTTTCGAGTATAGCTATATCCTTAAGTCATCACGGAACTGCTGAAGGAATCTCATCAAATAACCTGCATAAGAAGAAACAGACAAAAAAAAACCTCATCGTGCATAGAGGTAAAGTAAAAGAGAAGCAGAAACAAATTGAGTGTATATTTGGAAGAGTGTGCGTTCAAGATAAATCCGTGATCAAAACGCAAGACGCATACAACTTATAACATATGAAGTACAGGAAACCACCGTCATGTGTATGGAGGTAAGGTAACTGAAAAATAAAATAACGATTCGAAGTACAGCAAACCTCCCTCATCGCGTATGGAGGGAAAGTAAAAGAAAATAACGCTTCGATTTGTTTTGTCTTATTGTATGTATTGACTATAAGAATCGAATCTATGGCGGTGTAACATATGATAGTTTATCTTCTCAATAACCTAGTGAAAGCCTAGTGTAACATAAAATACAATTGAAATATCGCCAATCAATCCAATAACTATAACTACATTAGTAGTCATTCATGGGACAGGACCCTGCTCGATTGTGTCGACATACTCGCTTATAGCAGCAGCAGCACCCACATTCGTGTTCGCGTTTGCTACACAAAGAGCGTCTTCTTAGCTTGTGAGCTCTTTAACAGATACGTGACTGTACTTACGGTCTCCAACTCCAATCCTTGGACCATTCGCCCCAGGGCGTCACCTTCGAATTGTTACCTTTGTTGGATGATGTAGTGGCCTTTGATCGACCTGATGTACCTCCCATAGTCTCCATTGTTAATGATGAAGTTGACGCGACGGGTGCTGGAGCCGGGGTTGGCGATGGGGTGTCAATCACAATCGTTTCGACCTCCATTTTCTTCATCCGGCCAGAGATGGCGGGAGTGGGTGTGGCCGAAGGACTATCGTACATATGATGCCTACAGTGGCATATCTTTAGAACAGCACCGAGAAAAAGAAACGATGAACAGACTTAAAAACTAAGACACCTACTTTGACAAAGTTTCGGACAAAGATGCCAGAGTCCACTTTTGGTAAGGAGGCATACCGAGTAAAGCCTTCAAACTGTATATCTTGCCGTTAGTCGTACGGCGCCAGTCTGCTACCGCTTCGGCTCTTCTTGGAAGGCCCTTCTCCGCGCATTCCCATTCGCGGTGACCAAAAATGCCGCATTGATAGCATTGGTCAATGGCTAGGAGTATCTTCGGGTACGCAGTAAGTGGTATCGATACAGGCGTTTGATTGGAGCTGCTGCGCGTAGACATGGTTAGCTCTAATATCGATCTTGCCGCATCTAAAGTGAGAGGTATGGTAGTGATATGGAGTTCTGGTGTTAAGGTGACTGGGTTTGAACTGGAGTGTACGTTGATAGGTGTGGACATAGGTGTGGCCGGCATGATGTCGTAGCGGTTTATAAGATATTTGATCAAAATATAGAATTGAAAGAGTTTATAAAAGAACAAGTTATTTTGATTGTTAATCGGATGAGTTTAGAACTGATGGTGGATCAAGTTAGAAGATGAAGGTATTGGTTAATGGTGACGGCGAGTGCAATATGAGAGTAGTAGTTCGGATCTGGGGAGAAAGAGAAGTGGGATGTGGGTCCTTTGTTACCACCTTTTGAGGAGAAGCTATTAACGAGATCTATTCATGGATCTGTTGATCCATAGCCTCGAAAGCCGGTCTTCGGAGTTTGGAATGATAGCTGAGAGGATACGCGTCTACCTAAGGTTTGAATACATATTGTTGATTTGGTTCGGCGGTTCAGCTTCATTTGAATACGATATGATATCGTTGCATGCAGCTTGTTGAAAACTTGCATGATTTGTAAGTCATACGTCTCCGCCGTATTGACTTGTATGAATAATCACGTTCATAAATTGGTCAAATTGGAGTGAGATATATCAACAAATTGTTGAATCAATCGCGTGCAACTCATGTGAATTGTTTGTATCAAGTCGAATGAAACAAAGTCATGTATTCTTTGCATATAATTTGATCGACACGATAGAGGGAGATAAGATGGATTGAGACAAGATATACGATGGTGACATAACAACTATAACATTACAATAGCTAATTACTCTAAAAAGATAGGGTCTAAATTGGAGGTAATCTCACCGTCCGTAGTATTGGTGTTGGTTCTGTCAATCGGAGACGGTTGGTTGGTGGTATTTGCGTTTGTATTTTGAGCGGGAGTGACTTCATTTGTTTTGACCAACTGGATCAAATGGTCCTTGAGGTCGCTCTCGATAGCCAAGAGTTTGGCGCGGTTGAGATGGCGGCTGTTTTGCTTGAAGGTGGCCTCGACTGATTGGGCACCAGGTAGCAATTCGAGTTTGTATCCGGCTTCGCGAAGTGTCAAGTCGCATTTGCTCCATGGCCAATGTCTCAGACCCGTTATATCCTCTAGATACAGCTGGATATCAGCTGTGATCCCTGTGAACTGTCACACTGTTATAATCTCAAGACAGTACTTACTCAAAAAAGTTGAGAGGGAAGCGGTGACTCGTGATTGATACGCGCGTCCATTTTCTAGTAGATTGTTACATGGGTAAGTATAGTCGGAAAGTGCAAGAAGATGATAACAACCTACCCGATTTTCCCATTACGCCGAGTTCACTGGGTCTCTGACCAACCAAGTGTGCTTGTACTTCGGTGGCGAAATTATTGACACCATCTATGGCGTAAATTTCTTCAACCACCTTTTTGACACCTAGCGTGGAGCGTGTGAACTGGAAACTATGTGTGGAGATATGATTTGATACGGCCACGACAACAATTTCGAAGTGGTTGGATCTGGTAATAGGAATGCACTATTTCCCTTGAGTTGTCAGTATAATTTACTCACCTACAAGTGGTCAATAGAATCTTCTACTCACCTTGGCCATAATTTCATCCAGGTATTTCTCAGCGTTATCCTTGTAAAGTTTGAGACTTCGAGGATTGATTAAGGTGTTGCTTCGAGACTGTAGTATTTGGTCCCGTGAGCGAGGACCAATTTCGAGTTCGGCCAAGTCTTGGTCCATAGCTTGAAGGTTGGCGGTATCCGTCTCTTGAGTAGCCTCCTTATAAACATCCTTTTCCGCTTCGGTCATACTTCTCCATACTCGACTCAACTCCCTCATACCCTGGCCGCTCCCAACCCCACGAGCTGATAAGTGATAATGTGTCTTATGTCAGTGTAAGTATTGTTGATAGCGAATGTACTTTACTTACCTAATTTGAATATGGCCCTGGCTTGTACACTTTGGAGGAATCGGTTCCATCGCGATGGGCGACAAACCCCAATGTACTTTCCACTGAACATATATCGACTCAATATCAGTGGACATCGTACTATACTATCAGATGAGTTAGATAACTTACAAAACTCCTTCGATGGCTGAAACCGTGGTGCCAAGTTCGAGGGCTTTGATCGCGATCATCGTTTGTATCTCCTCATGGAAGTCGAGTAAAGACTCAATAAGTTCATCGGACATGCCGGCGGTAGCGTGCTTTTCTGCCAAGTAACGGAGCTGAAGTGCTGTTTTGTCGGAGTCTTTCAATTGCGCGGGGTCAAACGTAGGTTGATCGTCTTCGTTTTCAGAACCGGAACCATTGTCACCTCGCTTGCGTTTGTTGCGTTTGTTTTTTCCCTTGGTTTTGTTGCGTTTGCGGGGTGGCTTCTCCGTAGTAGTTGAAGGCACCGGCGGAGTTCCATCGCTCTCGATGCGCTGAGTGCCCGTGTTTTGTGTATGACTGGGAGTGTGAAGTCCGTGTGCTTGAGAATCAGCGAGCCGTTCAAGGTTGGCCACTAGGTCAAGGCCGGTTGGATGTATTGGGTATCCTGCAATTGGCATACTGGCGTGAAGTATTCAAGGTTAGGTGGGTTGTTGTATGGTTGATGGAGGAAGGACTGAGTTTGGTGTAGGTTTGATTGACTGAGTTTGGATTTTGAGTTCGTGAACTTGGTGAATTCGAGATTTGGTTTGTGGTATGGTGCTCCTGATGCGGCGTAGGTCTTGGTGGGTGGTGGTGATGCGTGCCCAATGTTAACACGTATTGACTGGGACTTCTCAAATTTGGGTAGACATGGGTATGTAGCATGGGTGATGTGTAACTGGACGCGAGTGGATATGAAATGTTGGGAAAAAGGATCTAAGAACAGTCAAGGAATGCAGTTTTACTGCTGTCTATATAGGTGAAATACAGTCGACAGTGGTGTCAGCTTGACGGCCTGTTTGATCAAATGAACGAAGGACACCAGCCTTCAACGTCACTTTCTTCTAACGAACCGGCAAATAATCAAGGATCGGCTGAGCCATTTGCCACCAAAGGCCTCCACGACGGTTTCCCTCCAACTCAGAACACGTGTGTACCGCCTCGTAACCTCCCAAAACGTTACAGTATGGCTTACCGCTGCTGACATCTTCTTTGAAAGTGCCGCGTTCTACCAGCAGCACATGCCTGCACCCGAAGCGCCCTCTAATCCGGCGCCTGACCACCGACCTGTTGCATCTGGGAGTTCTCACCGACCCGTGGCGATGAACCAAATTGGGAGCAACTCATATGATCATGGGCCTTCCACATCAGATGTTGAGCTTTTTGATTCACTTAGCGCGACGGATCGCACCATTTTTGCTAAGCAAGAAGATCTTGCCGAGTTCCACAAGGCGATCCGGTTGATTCACGCTGAAGCTCCATTGGACGAATCAACCGCTACATTCAACAATTACAACGACGTAGCCCTTCACGACATACGGGTCGAAGCGGCTAGGTTTTTGTCACGTCTCTGTGCCTTTAATCACACTAACAAGCCGGCCAAACAGCGCCGGCATGGATAGTTTTTTCTCTCTCTGCGCCCTTCCAACAGCACACAGGACTTAGAAGGTAGGTAAGCTCTTGGTAGGCATTCTTCCTCGTACTACTCGGTCAAACCGCACCAATTTCTCTTATCGTCTCTTTCTCGCTCTGTTTCGTTGCGATGTGTATATTCCATGCCCTCGCTTTGGTTGCTTAATGATCGCTTCACTTGTTTCCGTGATTTTAACCGCCCACGATTTTGTATATTATTTTGCATTTTCATGTGCAAATTCTTTTTCCTTTTCGTCACTCTTTCATCATCGCGCTGATGCGCGGCCTAGATCAAAGCGCCGATCGGGCGCGGGTGTAAGCGGATCCGGGAATAAGGCTCATTCCCGAGGACGCAAGGAAGCCCGTGCGCCCTCGGGTATTAGCTCACGGTTATGAACAGAGATCCCATTTGGGATACGTAACGCCGGTGATATAATGGCACGCCCCCTCACAGGTAAATATATATTTTCCTGTGATTCCTGTTTAAGTGGCGAACTGGTGTGAGGCGTCATCGGCCCTTGCCCAATCTTGGACGGGATGCTACCTGATGCTACATCATATCCACTGATGGAATCCCACGACGAGATCAATCGAGCACCTTTGTCATAAAGAAGCGTGAATCCTGATTCATGATCTCAGTAGATGTGGGTGACTTCAGGTCAATTTTTATCGGAAGCTTCGCCGTGGGAGGGCTCAACGCGTTGGAACTCTGTGCACACCTGACCCTGTGGCTGCCTGCAAGCTTGCAACATCATCCAGTTTGTTATTTGATGAAAGCTCTGTCGTACAGAACTTATTTAATGGCCTCATCAACTCCTCTGATACTTTTTCTCCTCATACTACTTCTCATCTAACCCAAAAAAAACTTTTATACCTTGGAAATATCTTGCTCTAGAGAATTCATAGCAACATTGCCTATTTCTCCACAGCTATCATGCGTTTCCACAATCGTGACTTGATGCTTCTCAGTTTATTCCTGATTGCCCTCGCACACACCGTTTGTGCTCGCGAACTCGAGTGTTGGAGGTTTACGGACCTCGATGGCAAGGTAGCCGGTGGGTTTCTTCTTCTTACTAAATCTCATTATCTTATTATCCATCTTCTCATGAATTGGTCGCTTTGTAATCAAAGCCTGCGAAAATCCGTACCACAAAATTAGCACAATATGTCCAATAAGCTCATGTACCATTACCAGTATTCCTCTTGGAAGATGCTCCCGGCCCGGGGAACAGCCCGTGATTGTAAAACATTGTTACGCGTATGGACCCAGTCCTACCAATGCTAACACAATCGGCCAGTGGGAGAGCGCAGTCATAGGTGAGTTCTTGGTTTACCTGGACTCACGCAAGATTGATCAATTTCTCAATCAACTAATTGCAACGTCTTTGTATGTAATTCACAAAACTCATCCTGTAGAGTGCAAATCTCGGAGTGAAAGTGTGCCATATACATGCCAAGTCAGCCTCAAAACATTGCCAAAGATAAGTAAGTCCAGATAGCCCACAGTTTCATCGTGAGTTGTTTGCTGGTAAATAATTATTGAAAATGTATTTGATCGCGTCCAACAGGATGTAGCAGGTGTCATGGTTGGTAAGTTCTTACATGGTCTGACTATCTCGATGCACAATCAACTGTTCCCTGGTAGTGCTACTGTCTTGAGTCTTGGGATCCATTTTTCCAAGTACACGAGGTCGGAACTCCCCAGTGTGTTTGGGAAACTTGTCAGGACAGAAATGGGGACTTCAAAGGTTTATCCTTGAGCTCATGGTATGGATCATCAAGCCTACATGGACATTCAAGCTCTTCTATCAATTTTTATCTTTCTTCACCTGTCTTTCTCATTTTTGTTTCGTGTAGTCCTGTTTCGTTTCTGTGCTTCCCAAATTTGCAAGATCAACCTTTAAACTATTTACATACATTTGTCTGAAGTGACTTGATGGAATGGCTTTGTGTTTTCATTATCCATAGGTTTGTAGGAGTTTGATTGATTGATTCCTCACATGTCATCAAATTAGTTCTCACATATTTGACATCAATTCCAACTTGATTTGGAAGTTGGTTTGAAAAAACTTAGCTGGTATGCGTCACGTGATTTCAAACGCATAATCCGTCGGTGCGTGAGTTCTGGATTGATAGTGTCCCTACATGACATGGGATCCATTCTCATTTTGTTTGATTGAATTAACAACAGAACTTGAGGCATCTTCAAGGTCATCATAACCATTCTCATAAGAAGATCCGCTATGTAGGTCCACCCTATATTGCTATAACGTGTCAGGATCCAATAAAGGCACAACCTGGGCAATCATCTCAACTCGTGGATAGTGGCGAGGGATTCTCCACAGTTGGGTAGTGTTGGAACGGGCTAGCACCTCATGAATTCTATGGCTGGCTTATTGAAGGTCTGGTATTGGAAAGAGCTAGGGTCACCGAAGTTCTATGAGTGACTCCTTACAGTCATGGGATCCATCACCGACCAGGTGGAAGGCAAGCTTTACTAACCTTGAACCAACACACAAGCAATCTTCAACAAGGCCACCAAAACTTCTTTTGCTAGATGATCCTTCGTTATGATTTCCAAGTTGTAGTCTAAAAACAAGAAGTGCTAGACCTCAAATTTAGAGAGTGAGGTCAACCCAAAGCTGGACAAAACTCCAAAGTCATAGATCTTAAAATCAACTTGTTGATAGAATTTCTTGGCATTGAAAAATAGTACAGACGCGTAGGTATCACAAGTGCTTGATATTTCGTGACTCTCTCCTTAGTTGCAAACCACTTGAATAGACGTTCATATCCCCTTAACAAAGTGCTCGAGCGTACCAAGCTTTCCTATGAGTTCTTGTACAATTATTCAGGGCATTTCAATCCAGTCAGGCTGATTGAAAAATTCATTTTACATCAGGTCGATAATCGTAAGGCAAAGGTAAAGAAAGAGGATGGACCTGGAAGGTAATAAAAGCTGACTCTTCCAACCTCATTCTTTCCCCCTTCATCATCAAATTATTATCTATCTTCATATTACTTCAATATTTTCTTTACATTCGTACATTCGTGCAATTTGTTTTACATTCATCAATTATCAGTATTTTTTAAGAGTCTGTCAACTATGTCTTCATTAAGAATCATCACCTTTGTCGCTTTCATCTTCACCATCGGACTTCCATCGATCCTTACTGCACCCAGTTCTTCTCGTATTTCGTCCTCCTCTCACGACGCCGAAATCGTCAAGCGGGTTGTACAGGCACACCATGGCTCCAGCGGCACTCCACAAACCACAGTCGGTCGCAAACACCTCAGTCGTCGGAGTCCATTCCACCCGGATGTTTTAATGGCTCGTAGCAATACCGGCCCATTAGCCACAGTTACTCAACTGATGAATGCGGCATCAGCAGTAGACGGAGATAAGAATTCGATTCGTAAGTTCAAGATAACAAAAGAGATTTAAAACCCGTTAAGGAAAAAAAACTAACCATCATCTTCAATCTTAGATAATTCTTTAACTTCTTTACAATCAAACAAACAAAACGCACAATCAAATGAATTTCAAAAAGAAATTTCTGAAAAATTAAAACAATGGCAAAAACACGCTAATAGTATTCCAACTTTACATAACATACATAATTCATTAAGTTATTTTGGTAGAGATAAAGGAATGGCTAATTTAGATAAAAGTAATGAAATGGAAGTTACTTTAAAGGTTTGTTATCTTTTCTTCTTCTTCTTTTGGAATGCTTTCTTTTCTTGTTGTTGAACTTCGGGGTTTTCTTTTTTTTTGGTTTTCGTTTGGTTTAGAATACGATTAATTCGATGAAAAATTCCATGTCTGATGTGAATTTGATGGTTTATCAAGTTCCTGCTTTAGGTCCAACACTAGGACCTATAGTTTACCAGATCAAATGTATCTTGTTAGTACATCTCTACTCTTTCTTCAGAAACCTGAGTTGATATTAACATCCGAATGGTCACTTTTACGTTGATGATAATTTTAGGGATGATATTTTGAATGGAAGTGAGAATACTGCAGATTCACTAATCACCAAACTAGGGCTAGGGAAAAACCTCGATCTTTGTTCTTTAATGAGTAACATGTCAGAGTTTTGTTAGAAAGAAAACACCCTATAACATTCTTCTTTCTTTCCTTAACTTTTTACTTCATTTAAAGTATCATTAGTTTATTTTAGAAGTGATAGAACACGTATTCTTTTTTTCAGAACAAAAAATGATTTCTTGTTGACTTTCGTTCTCTTTTTTTATACTATGTTTGACTCTTTATCTTAATTCTTCGTCTTTCTTTCTTTTTTTAAAACCATTCATTTTAAACCTTCCTTTCATTTAATTATCTTTCTCTTCTAATTGTAATTCCTAACTCTAAATTCTTTTGATGTCTTCTTTTTACTAGTTTTTTCCAAGTTGACTACATAGAGTTTCTTAAAAAACAAACAAATTGAATATTTTCTTGATCTCTTCTTTCCATCTTCAGGAGACCCAATACTTTGAATCTAACTTCAAGAAGTCGATATTCTTGAATAAAACACTCCTAATCATGTATAAAATGGCTAAACAACCTTTGATAGAGTCATAATCAAGCTGGAGAGCATAGGAGACAGGCCCAGGGATTTGCCCATTAGCAAGTACCAAGCTCTTTGAAGAATGATAAAGCTTAACAATCAGTGTTCTTCTTGAGTATTCTTACACCCAAAGCACCTTCACGAACCGCTTGATTTGAATTTCGCCGGGCTCAAAAGACTCATGGTTCCCGGTGTATGAGCTTTGCAGCTTCCATAGGATTTTCATCAACGTTAAATCTTCACTTCCAAATTTCAACATCCAAACTTGCAGTGTTGAGTATATAAATCTCGTATACGTTTTGTTGCTAGATTGTTTTCCATTGTTGTGCAAAAGGTTTCTTGATTTGGATATACTCAAAAAGTCAAAAAGCAGACCGCAATCAAGCTATATAGGGAATATGAGCAAATATGGAAGTAAGATAATCCAACTGGATTCTCCTAAGATATCGGACAATATGACTCTGAAGAAATATAGACTGAGTATCTTTTGATTTCCCAAAAGAATGCAAGTTACGGAATTTTCTTCCATCTTTTTTCCCTTTGAATTACATGTTGATGCTTTCAAAATTCAATGGCTCACGAAAGGCCAAACGATCCAGGAGTTTGTTTGTACCTCTCAAGACAAGAGACGAGCTTTAACAGTCAGTTTGTCAGCTGACAAACCACCAAAACTAAAAGCCAGACAACGGAAAGGGAAAGGTTTCCACGGTTTGGTGACTTCAAGGATGTTGTGATCTAGAATGACATGATTGATCACATCCCTTCAAACCGCATCGTTCTTGTCTCCTATGATCTGAATGGCCTTCTCCTGAGATGACCTCAACACTCTCAACTGTTAAGCTAGAAGTGATGATATCAGTCAAATGATGAATGTCAATGGGGTTCGATTCGATTCGATCGAGATGTCTACCTGCAAGCTGTACCGAAATGTTTACATGTGTGAAAGTGTTACATACAAAAAGGATACTTGACCATCTCGATTCTCATTGCATTCTTCAACTCAAACCAATTTCTCAAGATTACCATTTCACAATAACCCTCAGTTCTTATTTAACATTATCATTCATTCAAGATGCTACATCCACATGCTACCACCAAGGTACCATCAACTTCAATCTCAGTGAGTCACTCATTCACCTCACCCATCCGAGTTTCCAGCTTACAGTAAACTAAAGTTTCATAACACTGACCTTTTATTCTGTTTACGCCAACTCAGACAGCTTGTCTTCAATCATACGACGTAATAATCATCGGAGCAGGCATAGCAGGCAGTAGTCTAGCATACTCACTCTCAGATCCTCAAAGTAAAAACCCAAGATCAGTCCTATTAATCGAAAGAGATTTAACACAACCCGATAGAATCGTAGGAGAATTATTACAACCAGGTGGATGTTTAGCAGTCTCAGAATTAGGATTAAGTGAATGTTTAAATGAAATCGAAGCAGTAGAAGTTAAAGGGTATACAGTCTTTTGGGGATCACGTAAGAATTCGAATACGACTCATGGTGGTATTAATTTACCTTATCCTCCTCAAAGTACATCAAAGAAATTAGATTGGAAAGATGGTGCGCTTTGGAATGTCAAGAAAAATGGATTAGAGAAACCTATTCAAGAAGGCAGAAGTTTTCATCATGGTCGATTTGTTCAACGGCTTCGTTGGAAAGCAGTCTCACGTGTTACATTAATTGAAGCCACTGTTACAGAACTCATTAGGTGTCCTAATAGTGGTCATTTCATTGGTGTGACAATCCAATCAGGCGCCGAAAAGTCTTGTTCATTTTATGCTTCACTCACAATAGTCACCGATGGATGTTTCTCAAAATTCAGAAGACAATTAGCACCACAAGCATTTCGTCAACCGATTGTAAGATCTCATTTTGTTGGATTAATTTTACAAACACCTAAACCCTTTGAAACGATCCCACAACCTGGTCATGGTCATGTCTTTTTACCTTCACAAGCTTCACCTTCTTCTGTGGTTGAGGCAGACGAATCTAGAGTTGGTCCTGTACTTATTTATCAAATTGGGTTGGATGATACTAGGATGCTAGTCGATGTTCCTGGTAGTAAAGTCCCAAGTATCAGTAATGGCAGTCTAAAGGTAAATATTCAAATTTGTAGCTTCGTAGGGTTCTTTTATAGAAGTGGAGTTTGTTTTTTCAAATCACTGATCAAGATCTTCTTTCCACAGGATTATCTCGAACGTCAAGTAACCCCAATCCTACCACCAACACTACAAGAACTCTTTCAATCCTGTCTAGACTCACCAGACCCATCACATCGTCTAAGAGTAATGCCAAATTCATATTTACCTCCACATTTACAAGAAGATCATCCAGGTGTGATCATGTTAGGCGATGCACACAATATGAGACATCCACTTACAGGAGGAGGCATGACAGTAGCTTTATTAGATGTCCTCAAATTGAAAAAATTGCTCGATCCTTTAGATGATCTTGGTGATACTGAAGCCGTTAATGAATGTGTTAGAAAATGGCATCAGAATAGAAAAGAAACTTCTACTTGTGTAAACGTATTAGCTCAAGCACTTTATACACTTTTTGGAGCAGATGGTATGAGTTTTTTTCCCTTTATCATTTAATCATCTCCTTTTTTTTGCAAAAAATCCTTTTTTTGCAAAAAAAAAATAATTAAATTACTGAATGAAAACTTTTTTTTTGATCAATAGATGAAAGACTAGAAATCCTTAAACAAGGATGTTTTCGATACTTTGAATTAGGAGGTAGATGTGTAACTGATCCGATTGGATTATTATCAGCTTTAAAACCTTCACCAATGTTATTACTTTCACATTTCTTTTCAGTTGCGTTTTATTCGATTTGGATCATGATTCAATCTGAAGTTTCAGCTGCCAAAAAAGATGAAATCGGTTTAGGTTTCAATAGGTTATTTCAAATACCTGTTTTGGCTTTTAATGTGTTTTGGGCAGCTTGTGTGACTATCTTACCTGTCTTATGGGCTGAATGGTAATCACTCACAACTTGTGACTTTCTTTTTTGTATAAGCAATTTAAGTAGGTTTTTTTTGTATGATTTTGTTTTGTTTTGTTTTGTTTTGTTTTGTTATCTTTTTCGTGGTCTTTTGAAAAACAAAAACTTAAATTATAAGTAAGAAAAGATTACGCAAATCGTCATTTTTCTTACGTTTCTACATAATAAAGGTTTAATTAAAATATACAACAAAGTTATACTTTCGTAATTACTTATCTTTTTTACAATTACTTATTGCTAGAATTAATCAAAGTACAATTATGTTGTTTCAACAATCTTTTGGTTTACCACTTATTAAACATGATGTGTATCAAACTTTTAAAATTTCTTTTTGGTATGACAAATATCCTTAAAATAGGTTCATGCCACCTTTGAATGGAATTCATCCCCACTTTGTTCAAACTGATTTCATTGGTGTGACCAGAACTGGAAAGTTTGATTTGTATCCCTTGTGACCAACTTCTGTTTAGCAACAAACTAGATTTGAAGTGAGTCATTTGTCAGTGATCCCAAGGGAAATTGGGCAACAAGATCATTGTGATGTAACAAAATCATTGCTGACAGGTGATACGAGCTATCTGATGGTTCCCTTGCTGGAATCCAAATGGACTTCAGGAATCAAAATCATACTTCAACAATTCTGGGGTATCAAATTGAACAAGATCATTGAGAGTCAACATTAACTCAGTAAAATGGATAACCTCTGCGGAACCATTCAGTAATATGTACAAACACTTGGGTGCAGTTTTTATTTACCATGTTACAAATGAAATCATGTTTAAAAAGTTGTTTGTCAAATAAAAAATGCCCATATATAAGGTATCAATTCTGTATCAGATGGCATGTCAAGTATGCTTAAAAGCATTGAATGAGTAACAAGTAATTGAAGACACAAAGAACTTGACTCACAGATTCTTTCTGGAAAGTTCCAGAAAGAGTCTAGTACAAGGGAAGAGACAAAGCATTTCACAGTTGGACCCATACAATTGGATATATGAGATGGGATAGAAGGCCCAGGGCAGGCTATGCATCCTGATGGGGTATCAAAAATTGCTGAAGTTATGATTCAGTAAAAATGTATAGATTTAGGTGAACTCTTTAAAGTTGCTTAAATATATAATTTTGACAAGCTGGATATGGAGCTGAATCTGATCAACTTACACATTCCAAATTTCCTGGCATTTTTCAACACCTGCATTAAGTATGCAATTTGAAAAATAAATGCATGTCTTCCTTTTTCTGACTATACATTATTGTTTGTATATATATTGAAAAAAAACTTTGGCTCTCATCAACTGGATACCCCAGCCTGTGCATAAACGATGATCATACAATATTTGGGGTATCGATACTCACAGAAAAAACACTCCCAAAAGGAACAAAGCAAACCAAAAGGGAATTTGGATAAAACACACACAATGCCAATATCCAACAGGCTGGTTCAGTTGTTATGAGTTGTCAGTGAGTAGGTTTCAGCAACAAACATAAATCAAATTAAGAAAGAAAGGATCCTGGCTTGGTTAAGTCTTGACTTGTGGTTTCATTTACTCATGATCATATGAACATACACTCTTTCCCAAAAACAAAGGCTAAAGAACAAAAATCACAGACCCGAAATTGCTGATACACAAGCAAAATGTCTTCTTGATTCCATGTACCAATGATTTTATTACAAATCCATGATATTTTCTTGACAAAAGCAAGTATTATATGCCATTATATTTAATTCTGAGAGTTTGGAGGGTTACTACCCTTCTAAAACCCAGATATCCCTTTTTGATGGGTTTGAATACAACCTCTGGTCTTTTCCACATTGAGAACACTTCAAGACATGTGGATTGTTATTCAAATCAGAAATGATTTTGTATATATCTCTGTTTTGGTACTGGTTTAAATTTGAAGTCACTGCTTGACTTATGTAGGTCTTTGGCCAATCAAAATCTTATACCAAATTCTTACAATAAACCATATTGGCTCAGGAGAATGATATAGAGCTCTATGCCATAAAACGTAAGTATGCATCATGAATTTTGGATCATACCACTTTGCAACATCATATGAATCTGTGTATGCAGGAAAATGAAATTGATGTAGGTCCTTGGATGAAAAGTGTTTTCCACGGAAAGATTCAAGCTTTGAGAGCTTCCCAACCAGTGATGAGCAATTTTTTTTACATCTGATTTCTTCCTTGACATTGGTGTAAGAGAATTTACCTAAAACTTGTGGTACAAGACTTTTTTGAATAGTGATTATCGCATCTTTGATCATGTGTTGATAACTTCATCTCAATTGAACCACAGGGAGATTGTACAAGAAATGGCCAACCATTCTTGCATGGAAACCGACTTGAAAGGACATTCTGACGCATCCCTTGAAATGTCCGGGTAAAATCTTATAGCTTTCAAGTTTACTTTCTTGTTCTTTTTCAGAAGGATGCCACAAGCAATATGCTTTTGAGCTCAAGGAAAGAAGCTGATAAACACAGCTGTATTTCTCGCACCTACAATCATCTAGATTGATTGATTGCCAATGATAATCTTTTCAACATCCAATCCAGACAAAAACAATCATACGTAGCAGGATAAAGTGTGAAGCTTGCGTACGTACTGTCCCATAAGATAGGTCTAAATTCCTTGCTCACAGAATATAAAACCTTCTTGTCCTAAAGAAAATCGTGACTTCAATCAGCAATATGTTTTTTATTTTTTACCTACGGGACCTAGGGGGCTGTCTTGTTCTCTGTGGGGATCCGCCTCTGTGTCCTCGCAGTGAAGCAAATAAACCCGATCACTTTCCGATTGAAAATTAAAAATTATCCAACTGTCACAAGTTTAGATTACTGTATGATATGTAAATGATCGAATGTCACATCTGTATTGAGAATCCTATCTGTTTACCTTTTCAGAATTTTCACGCCCAAGACCGAGGAAGACGTCAAGTTTTTCAAAAACCTTTCCATCACTTCCTTTACCTTTTATCTCCAATCAACTTTCAGGCACCTTTCTTTAATAATGAACAAACAGGGTGGTGTTAAGATTCTAACTGGTATGTTCTCTTCATTCTTCTTTCTTTCTGCTTTCAGTGTCACTTTACTTATTTTGATGTGATTGCTTTTGGTTTAGGTAACAGTCATCCTGCTCTAGCATTAGCTGTAGCTCAAAGGTCAACAAGAAATTTCGTCTTCGATATGAAGCCTTTTTTCTGATATCCTCTCCTTTTTTTGGATTCTATTTAGGCTCGGGATCTCGCTTTGTGGTTGTAAAGTTAAAAAGTTTTCAGATGGTGAAACTTCTGTAGCTATAGATGAATCTGTTCGTGAAGAAGGTTCGTAAAAGAATTCTCTCTTATATCATCGTTCAACTCTCCATTCTTTTCTACTCTTTTTTTCATTAAAAATTCAATTGTGGATGGAGACCAACAACAAAATAACAAATATCATTAGCCATCAGATCTCTTTTTCAACTTTCTCTATCTTTTCCTATTACTTGAATCTTTTGAAAAAAACTCATATTCCCCAAATTACAGATGTCTTTATTATTCAAACTGGGTTTAATCCAACCGTGGGTCCTGGTACACAAGCGGCCGATCCAAATGATCTGCTAATGGTCAGCCAAATCCTCCACAAATATCATCTTTCTAAAACCTATACTTTGGAATCTCTTAAACACGATCCCAAAACAATCAAAACTCACTTTCATAGATTTGATCATAGAAACTAACGATTTTGGTTCAACTTTTTGTGATGTAGGAACTTTTAATCTTGATCTCAGCCTGTAAAACCGCTTCAGCCAAACGAATCACAGCAGTAATCCCATGTTTTCCATACTCAAGAATGGATCGAAAAGACCGATCAAGAGCTCCCATCACAGCTAAATTAGTGGCAAATATGTTACAAGTAGCTGGTTGTGATCATGTGATTACTGTCGATTTACATGCATCCCAAATTCAAGGGTTTTTTGATATTCCAGTGGATAATCTTTGGACTGAACCTATTATTTGTAAATGGATTAAAGCTTCGGTTGAAGATTGGAAAAATTCAATTATCGTTTCGCCTGATGCTGGTGGTGCAAAAAGGTTTGCTGAATTGTTACGATTTGAAAGCGCGTGTTTTGTTTTAGAAATCGAAAGTTGATCTATGTTTTTTTTTCTGTGGGATTTAAAGGGCTACTACTTTAGCAGACAAATTAGATGTGGATTTCGCCTTGATTAATCGAAAAAGAGCACGTAAAGCAATTCATAAGACCAATCATCAAAATGGTGTTGAAACTCCAAATGAAACCACGGAGGAAAAAAAGAATGAAGAATTAGGTGAAGAAAAGATGGAAATCTTAGTGGGAGATGTTAGAGGTAAAAATGCGATTTTATTAGATGATATGATTGATACGGGTGAAACTTTATCTTTAGCTGCTAAAGAATTACATTCTGCTGGTGCTAAAGCTGTGTATGCAATCGTTTCTCATGGTACGTTGCTTTTCCTTACGCGTTTTTCTTTTTGTCATTAAGAGTGAGAATCGAAGTTGATTTTTGTTTTTGTTTTTCGGAATAACTAGGACTTTTATCTGGTGATGCAATGACTAAATTAGCCGGTTTACCGGTGCTTAGATTAGTCGTGACTAATTCGATTGATCAAGTTAGACATTTAGATCAAGCTAGTGGTCAACTTGAAGTTATGGATCTTTCACCTGTTCTTGCTGAAAGTATTCGTAGAGTAAGGATCTTTCTCTCATAAATTAGGTATAGTCTTCGAGAAGTTTGGAATATTAATTGGGATCTTTCTTTGGTTTTATAGACTCATAACGGAGAAAGTATTTCTTTACTATTTTCTGATGGTCGATAAAAACTTTTTCTACATTTAAGAACTTCATGAATGATAAAATCGACTCATTTTATCTTTAACAACTATAGAAGCTTTTTCTTTTTTTCTTTTGTTTTTTAAATTCTTATATTTTTCTTTCAAAAAAAGTCATTGATGACTTTCAACTCATTAACTCATCACTCATCATTTCATCTCCTAAACCCAAAAAATCCAAACTCTTTTGCTTTCATATCTACATACTTATTTTTGATTCAATTCTATTATTAGTTTGAATTTCTTTTTTCTTAGCATTTTTCTTTCTGTCTTCATTTTTTTTTGTGTGGAAAGTGGAAGTTTTGATTTGTTTAGTATTTCTTTTTAGATTCTTTTTCTTTTCTTTTTGGTTTTTATATATATGCACATATGTTAGTATAGAGTGAATAGGCGGTTTTGTTGGAGAGAGCAAGAGGAAGATATGGAATGTTTGAGGTTTTCTCTTCAACAGAACAGGAAAGAAGAAATGACAGACATCAGATTCAGGATTCAACAGTAGAGGGGATTAGTTTGAAGTTTGAAGGCCAATTTTGAAGATTGATCTGATTGTGAGATAAACATATATGGCCCAGAGGTGGTAATTATGAGATTTGGTGGTTTCTCTACAAGGTGCCTTCAGCTTACTACATACAAGGCTAGTTTTGTGATGTCAAGATCAGGTTAGATCCCTACATTGATCTTGACCTGAAGTGTGAGCTTCGAAGTTGAGGTGTTGAGCTTTGAACATGGAGTTTAACAGTCTTGAATTGTGATGTTTTCAAGTTTGAGGTTTCGAGAACAGCAGTTTCGACTTGATTTATCCTACGATAAATCAAGTCGTAGGCTTGCGTAGATTTGGACACGGGGAATGCAAGATTTGACGCGGTTGTAGGGACCGCGAGTCTAAAACAGGTCCATAGTGGACCTGTCTATATTTTAGCGTTATTGTAACGCTAAATCACCTCGATAACGCACCCATAGTGGATGCTCTTACTTTCTTCAAGGTTAACTAATGTGACTTAAACTGATCTCCAAACAAATGGGAAAATGTACCCCTTGATGGAGTTGAGTCAAGGACATATGTAGGTGATGATATCATTTGATTATCACTGGCTCACCAGTAGTAACATCAGATGGTGAACTCAAGGCAATTGAGTAATTGCAGGAAATCAAACATGTCCAAAGCTTGTAGATATGTGAGCTTGGTATGCTAGTCGCGATTCAAAAAGTGAGTTCATACGAATGACAATTTAGCAGAACCTTTACTTTTCAACTTACATACTGATAATCGTGTACAATTAGGGTACTCAAAGTAAGTATGCATACGTACATACTTTTCGCTGCATACTTTTTTTTGGCGGGGAGACCGAGGCCAAAAGTATATTTTTTTCTTTTTCCCCGCCAAAAAAAAGTATGCACACGAAAGTATGTATGTGTGCATACTTACTTTGAGTACCCTAAATCCATGACCTCAAAAATAAGCAAACATGGATTTCTTTCAAAGTTCTAGAGTCAGACCAAAAGCTCACGTCATGATGGATTTTAAAACAGCTGAATTTACTTGTACACTCTAACTTCAAGATTACAAGTGGTCTATGGTCTTCATGGTATGGAGCTGCCAAAAATCTAACTTTGAGTTATACAATGTTGTCATAAGGGTGTTGCAGTTATTTAATGACCTGTTCCCTTGGCTCCTCTAGCCTACTAAACATATGAGCTATACTAGGATGTTGAGATTAAGTGACATGAGTGGATAAGAATGCAAGAATGTATTTGATATGGGGCTTGAATCCCAAAAACAAAGTAACCTGTTTCCCTCCATGATCATGTTTTTAAGGTTAGTACTCTGCCTGAAAAACACTCTGGTCTTTCCGGGCTGAAATCAAGCTCTTTTTTGAAAAACGAGTGATTGGCTAGGCTGATTTGAGTTACACTTTGCTTGGAGAAACTTGAAGAACACTGTATGAAAAAGATCTCAAACCCCGCACTTTTTGATTTTGAGTCAAACTTCCTAAGGCTCAGCCCGAGAAGCCATATATGAAATTGTGGCAAACCATTTAAAGTCACGCAATTGTTCAAATTATAATCTGATGATTGATTTATTAAATACGCTAGAATATGCTCGTAATATGGTCGGAGCGGCATGGTGAATGACCCTCGTCTATGTATCTTTCCTTCTTGTGCGGGCTCGTCCTTCGCTCGCCCTCTCCGACTTCGAAGTTCGAGACAGGCAGAGCCGAGTCTGAGGGCCGAGGGGTCTGATTCAGCTGGGTACGCGACGAGGAGCATGTCCACGTGAGTCCACCGGCACGTAGGCTATAGCCTTAAGGCTCAAAGCTTAACTTTCAAACCTCCATGGCCAGTCACGACTCACAAGGCGAACAGTCCTCGACCTTCTGGAATCTTGTGTACGCCAGAGGGAAGGTGGGGTTGCGAGGCTCATTTCTATTATAAAGGGTCAGAGCCACATGCAAGGAAGAGGCTGATCTTATTTGGCGTTCTAGTGACACATCTGCGGCGCTATTCGATACACGGACCCTTTGAATCGTGATGGAGATGTCGTAATAGCTGACCATACTAGGCTTCCGTGTTATTCTGTGATTGAGTAAGACGCCAGCGTTTCACACAACACAGCGCTGCCTCCCGGTCCACCCTTAGAATATTTTCCCGTCCGTAACCGCGTCTCAACCCCCACCTCGTTCTCAAATTTTATTTCCAGTGAATTCACAAATTCTTGATATAAAGACACGAGTACCATCACTCTCTCCTTACGAGCTCACATCCTACAACATAATAATCTTTTTTTAATTTACCCTCTTTATACCCAACAACTATATTTCATACTACATCAAGATGCAGCAATCATTTGCCGTTCTCACTGCTTTCCTCATCGTTTCTGCTTCGGCCTCCTCGCTCATCCGACGTGATGAAGGGACCGATAATCAATGTTTCGAGTTCGATTCCATGATCCCCGAGAAATCTAGTGCGTGTTCTTTGCTTGCCGCAACAGATATGATTATTTCCATTGACCTGACAAAACGATACGATCCTCGCGCTTTTTCTGCTGATCAGCCTGTAACTCGCGACCTGATCTCGTGTGCACCAAGGGATGTACCGGTGGTATTGGTAAGAAAGGGTTGTCTCTAACCGCTAAAAGATATGAAAACTGATGCTTGAACATCTTCTTTGTAGCTGCATCTGGCTGTGTCTGGGGCCCTTCTGGAAATGCTACCAAGGAAGAAACAGAGAAGGGACGAGCTGCCCACCCGAAACCTGAGAACGTTACTTGCACCAAGGCCATGGGCAAATCGTCTGCCTCCTCATACAGTAGGTTGAATCTTCTATAAATGGCGTTTACTTTGACTAATTCATTCCGCCTCCCTAGCTTGCCGTACCGATACCGATGTATACACTTGCTCCAGTCGTTCCGCCGGTAGCGCAAGTAAGCTTCATGTATAATTGCTTCAGGCCTTCACACTACTAACCCGTCACTTCAGCTTGTTCCGGATGTGTGTCAAACGGTGTCCAAATCGGCAACGTTCCCGCCACTACCCCTGGAGCCAACGGCACTGCTATGAACAACACCATGCCTAACGACAAAGACATGTCCAACAACATGACGTCGGGTGACGCGACAGCTTGCAACAACACTGCTATGCCTGCTACCAACGCTTCAGGATCTGGTAACGGCAATGCCACCAGCCCCAGCTCGTGAGTGTCTCGACCTTCGTAGATACAGAGAGAGTTTGACGTGGCCCAATCACTGACGAATATCTTGACCATTCTACAGCACTACCAGTTCCGCCTTCGTGGTTTCTGGCAACATGGTCTCTGCCGTTTCTGCCTCTCTCTTTGCTGGTGTCGCCTCTCTAGTTCTCTAATCTTAACGCTATAAAGTTAACGTGCTATCGCACCGGTCTTGTAATTGGAGACAAATGGACATCAAAGTAGTCTTACTTGTTTGTGTGTATGTCTTCTGATGGAATGCAAATGACAAATGAATTTATGATGAAACCACAACCAAAATAAGACATGGTCGTTTAAGTTTGCCCACCGCCTTCTAATTATGACGTGTGAAAAGTGAATCAATCCATGTGATGGTACAAATGGAGATATCGTCAGAAAATATAGACATTTGCCGACCTTCGCTAAGTCCCACGCTGGACCTAGCCACCAACTCCAGCTCCTGTCTGGAATCACTTGTCGCGCAAAGCTTGTCCAACGTAGAAAGTAGTTGACCAATCAGAACTTGCGATTTCGAAGTTCTGGATGGTGTGGGGTGTAGCCTGATTTGAAAGTCGCGATAAGCGATTCATGGAGTTTCCAAGCTCAGAAGCTATCCCCTCCTTCAAGCGCAACTTACATCCACGTACTTGTTCATCTAAGCAATCCATATCTAATTCTCCGAGTTTCTATCGATTCCTGATTTTGAAGTTTGATTTTGTGACCTCGAAGCCCTTTTTAGATCACGAAAGATGATTGCAAAGTAACAGATAGGAAGCATGTCAATCAACTCGGCGGCATTTGAGTCAAGGTATAGATTTGGAAGTCCGAAGAGATATTCAAAGGGAATCATGACACTAACTTGTGTTGGGTTGCAGTGATAAGTGCTGGATTGGAATGTGACCTTTCTACTGATCGATCAGATTGAAAACAATTGAACTTTGACCTATACACTTATTCTTTGGTTATCTAATCTAATATCTTATTCCTTTCTTATTCATCACTCATCATATATCTATGAAGTCATATTGTTAGTCATGATCTCATATGCTGTGACCTTCTCTAGTGATCTGATCGGTATAAATAGATGATGAATCGTGTTACTTGTTTTCTCTTCACCGATTCCATTCTTCACTTCGTGCAGGTGTGCTTTTGCTCTGCGCGTGTTGGTCACTGAAATATATTATCTCTTTAGTTTTACTAACTAAACCACTTCCTCAGCCTCATAGCCAACTCGCAATGAAAACCGCCTTCGCACACAAGCAACCATTGTTTGACCATCATGATTCATTCATGCACGCGCTTACAAAAGCGATGAGCGTGATTGCCTTCCATTTTCACATCGTTGGTTTCAAGGTCTTCTGGAATGGCCTTGGGGATAGATTCAGAAGCTGAAGCTGGAAGGAGTGTTGCTTGAGTTTATCTTGGAGGGTCGCACACACATCTTTGGCTATCTAAATCTTTGATCATTGGGAAGTGATCAAGGGTCGAGTGGGGGCGCTACCGAAAAAGTGCACACATGAAACGTTTTGATCTTGAAGAAATCACATATAAGCTCAAAGCATAAGCCCTTCACGAGCGCGTTCTCAACTAAGCCACTCGCGCGGCCGCGTCCGCGCCCTAGGAGGAACCGCATGTAGAAATTCTGATTCTTTTGGTCGATTTCCTTCCGAGAGGCGACTTTGTTAAGTTTACCCTAGTTTACCCCTGTTTACCCCATGCCCACAATTGTCGGTATACGTCCCCTTCCAATTGATCTCCTTGCAATTGCACCAGCCTTCCTTCAGCGCCTCACCGGTCAAAGATCGGAATGTGGTTCTATTGAACCCCCGGTGCTTTCACTCAAAGGAGACACTTCATGATGATCGTGTCTTCCAGCACTTTTCCTTTATCAGTCTCTCTTAGCCCTCACCCATCTCAAATTGTTCACATTCATCTTCGTCTCTTGCGCAACCCAAAATGCTCAAAAAATTTCTCCACATCGCATTTTTAGTGTTTGCTTCATGGCTTAACGTCTCAAAGGTCATGGCCGCGAAACATGTCAAACTCTATGACACCAGCTGCGACGTAGTCTACTTGTTTGAGTACGGTGTTGCAAGTGAGTACAATCATTAGGGTTTTTTGTTGACCGTATGGCTTCAGGATCCTCTGCAGTCAGACTGGCTGACCCCACTTGTATAATGGATCGAATCGGGAAAAGAGTGCGGCAGTGCGTACGATGGGCATTCATATGATTGCAGTCCAAAAAATTGCCGTGATGGGAGTAAGCATCAAAAAGTTTTCGATGTCCGAATTTCGTATTGAAAGTGATGAAGTAACATTGGTTTGATATATCTCATCTTAGATAAGAATTATTCTGTACTGGTTGATTGTACTCACAACGGTTCGACAGACCAAACCACATCTCAACAAGATTGTGCTCAATATACTTATACCAATGATGACAAAAACCCGACCCTCAGTACGTCTTTCTCAATCTTGAACTCATTTGATATCTGATCAAAAACTTATGCTTATTCACCATTGAACCTATCGTCTTCTTCTATGAATCTATAATGTTCATCAGATTGTATCAATACTAAGGGTTATCATTATACATGCCCTTATAATAAAAATAAAGGCAAAAAGATTGGTAAGTAAAGAGCCTTTCTCATCTGCTATGTAAAAACCCTACCCGACTCAAAAACACATCAACTTTCTAACTATTCCATTTGATTTCATTTCAGAATGTAAGGGTTGCTTTATGGTGCCGTAGAGTATCAAAAAAAACAAAGAATCCTTAATCCTGGGACATTCAGCATGTTGGAACATCAAAAATCGAAAATTCCTCTCGACTTATCGAGAGTAAGTTGATCTGTATGCATTCTTGTCTAAACGCTGGTATAGTGAAACTTGTGAAACCAAAGGGATCGTGGAAGTTATTTTAAAGAGATTGAGAAATTTGTATCACAAAGAAACCAATGAAGACATTTGTCTTTACCTATCCACTCTGATCAATGGCTCCAACACACTTGCCCAATTAGATTTGCATAAAAAGAGACTTGTGATCCTTTTTGATCACAACAACTTGAGAAACGATGGAACCAACCCTTAAAATGGGGGAGTGAGCCCATAGATAAGAGGAAGGATAGTCGAAATCTCAAAAATCCGTTCTGTACCATAGAAGTCAATAGATCAAACAAGGTCTCTTTTCATATATTAACAGGTGAAAAAAGAGTTGTGAACATATGGATATACTCAGGACAGTAGGATGATCTCACAGATTGGAACAGAACTCTGTTCTGAGCAAAGTTATTCAAACAAGAAAATTTGGTAGAATCCAGTCAAGTTAAGGCAATTGAGGGCAACTCAAATAACAATTTCAATAGACTTGATGTCCAATCAATATGATTGATCAGATATAAAGGCTCAACCCTTATAATCTTGTGCTAGAACAAAGTCAGAATCACATTAATAACCTTCTTTTTGATCCATCAAAAATATCTTCCCATCATTGTGTTTTTTTTCAAAAAAATGATTTTCTTGACTTGTAAAGGACTTCCTGAATTCTCAATCTTTCTCCAAACAACCTCAATTGATGGTTTGGAACCATTTTTTTTTTTTTTTTTGTGCTGAAAAGCAATCCTTCACAAGACACACCTGCTAGATTATATCTATGTGCGTCCTTCCCAAAGGACATTGCGACTGGGCTCAGCCTCACCCCCATATTTTCAAACCACCACCTACCTCCCATCTATGATAACAGTGAAGGCAAACTTTAAGCATAGACCCAAACCAACCAAACACCTATGTTGTATTGTGATTTACTAAGTAGGATTTACTCTAACTATTGTGATAATGATATCATGTGATTTTTAGTACAGTGGGTGATCAAAAAGCTACGGTTTTTTCAAAAAAATAAAATACATTTTTCTTATAACATTTAATGATTAATAGTAATTTTACAAATGATTTTTCTAATGTAAATAGATGAAAAGGATCATAGGCATCTTGTCTATCTGTAGATATGACAAAATCAACATACCTTGTCATTCAAAAAATATATGAGTGTGTTTCACCAGTGTGTTTATTTACCCTTGGCTTCAAGAACAGCTTTGATTTGATCAGGCAATGATGATACTAAGTGCTCAATTTTTCAGAGGGGACAGCCTTCCATGCATTTGATTTTATGGTAGATATAGTTTTAAGTGTCAGGGTTGGATCAGTAGCTGAGACCATATGTTTGAGGTTGGACCAAATATTTTCAATTGGATTGGGATCTGGTGATTGAGGTGGCCAAATTAACTTGACAATGTCTCTTTCATCACACCAATTAGATGTAAGTTTAGAGGTATGTATTGGTGCATTATCTTCCATCAAGATTAGACCATGTGCTTCTGGTGAATTCTCAAAGAATTGTCTAATGACAGGTTCACATACTTGATTGATGTATGATTCAGAATTCATTCTGCCTGAGTTCAATACCACTAGATCAAGCTTAGTTCCAGAATAGAATCCACCCATACCATCACACTTGAATGAACTGATTTGTGAGAAGCAACTAAACAGTCGGATTGATGCTTTTCTTTAGCTTTTTGTTGGACATGCACATTGCCATATGATTTTCCCACCTCAAATGTTGATTCATGTGTCCAAATTACTGATCTCTGATCTTTGACAGTCCAATATTTATGGTGCTTTGCAAACTCAAGACGGTCATGAATATGTTGAGCATTTAAGTATGGCTTGACCGGAGCCACTTGAGAGTTATATCTAAGGTTTCTCAACAAATGTCAAATGGTGCACTTGCCCACTTTAGTAGTTGATTTTTGGGTAAGCTGATCAGTAGTTGATCTTTGTGACCGTTTGATATCTAGGATCAGATGTTAGTGATCACAACTAGTCAAAATTCTAGGGTGTCCTGATGGTTTCTTTGGTTCAAAAGAGCCAGATAGCATGAACTTTGAAACTACAGTTTGAACTGTACTGCTGATAGACCACATTCTTGAGCAATATCCATGTTTCTTGCTTTAAGAAGATGCATTCCAATGATTTAGTTTTTGACTTCAGATGTAAGCGGCTTCATGGTGAGAATATGAGAGGTGATGGTCAACAAGGAGAGGTGTGAATTTTGAAATTTGATCAATTGAATTTTTCAAAGAAAAAGAACTGTAGCTTTTTGATCACCCACTGCACCAACACAGCTGCTCAGCTATTAGATCATCTGAATGAGTAAATCATATGTAATATGTTCTGTAGAAAAATCTCAGTTTGACAAAATTGTTCCAAAAATTGACTACATACACTGACTTGTAGTTTTGGTGTGATTCCATGCACTAAACTTCATGTAACACCCTTCCTGTTACTGTCAAATGGCTTGCAAAGTATTTCCTGAGTAGCTATAGTGGTATATATAGTCAATTTTTGGTACGGTTTTGTCAGACTAGAAAAAAGTTAAAAGATATATCACATGTGATTTACTTATTCAGATGAGCAGACAAATGAGCAGACCTGTATCATCATAACATTTAATCCCAAAGGCACTTCGCTTACAAAACTCAACAAAATACACCATTAGCGTGATTTTCAAGTTTTGGCCATTGTCAGAAACCATTTCACAGCTTCTTTGAATTTGAATATTCATCTTCCTGCCACCTATCATTCACACAATTATCCATATGAACATCAATCCACCAAAAATTTCCAGCTCATGATTCACATGAAAGCGCCACAATTGGTGGCAAACATTTGAATTAGTGATTGCAACACACCCAAACCTACCCGAACTCACATGCACCTTGGCTCATCCCCGCTTTGAAAAAAGGTTACGACATGCTCACACTTTATACCAACCAATTCTCCCTCCACCAGCTTGAGTCCACACTTTCCGCGACACAAACCACACATCAACTATTATATTTGTCGCATGAATCGATTTCACTAGGCATGTGTCCAAGGTCTTAATCTTCAAGAAATCCTTTATGCGGCTCAGCAAATTGCCAATCACTCACTGCTTTGATCTCACTGACGTCATTCGACTATGGGATCCACTTCTTACTTTGAATCTTGATCCATCTCAGTCACAACACGGGGTAGCCAACCAAGAGGAAATGATAGAGTTTTTGGTAGATATCACATGTGCTCTCACACTTCAGCTTGGTCCCATCATCCTCAATATACAAACTTTGTATCAGCTATCAAGTTACTGCAAGGTATTAGCTACTTTTGTTCCAGACCTGACTTTCCGTCTCTTGACGTCAATACTATTTTTCAAGATGACTTACTTATTCTTCAGCATCAATTGGCTGAAGGTCTTGCAACTGAGAAGCCAACAACAGATCTTACCCATCATCCCAGTCATCAACTACCACTGGCTCTCGAGACCGAAGAACAGGAATCGGCACACAACGGTCTTCCAGATCAAGGCTTGCCCTGGTTCAGGCATCACGCTTGGCTGGACATCTGTTCCGTGGTATAAGTCCAAGTCTGCTACAAACCTTGGCCCTCCGCTACCATTGTCCCTGACCAATCACGACCATCGGCCAATGGAGTATGTGCATGGTGGAGTAGAAAACGTAACATCGGTCTGCTGGAAAAACCTAAGACTCGGGCTGAAGCTTGGAAGGACAGTGATGCAGCTGCGACGTACGTAACCCCTCTTCTGTCCCACCAACAACGCTCCTCTTGTTGTTCATGTTGTGTAACACCAAGTTTATAATACTCGGAGATAGAGCAGGCGAGCGAGATCATTAAAACTCATCATTTGCTTACCCTTTCAGCATCATCCGCTTTCACAGCTAATCCAGACCACTTTTATGATTGCTCACGTTGAAAGAATGCACTGGAGGCGATGTTGTGCGTAAGTGCGAATATAAATCTTGCTGGTTTGCTGGTATATTTGATAAACTAATCTTGTTGACCTTGAATCTTTCCGTCGTATCTTAAAGCTGCTCACCAAGCTGGAATCCAATCCAAAAAAACTCATCTTAGGTCATCAATATGCTCCAATGACTGAATTTCAACTCGTACAACCGCCAGACAAACACCAACATTTTCAACAATGTGCTCAATATGAGTTCATAAACAGTAACCTGGCTAATCTTCATTTCAGTTGGTATCTTGAATTTTGCAACTGATCTATGACTGATCCGAAAAGTGTCTTATGAAGGATTGTTTTTGTTTCTGTATCAAAACCATGAATCCCAAGATCTTCAGAGTGCAGGAACCCTGGTCTTTTTTCTTGGCTCAACACATCTTTCTAAACCTCCAACTTGCAGATCTTCTAAGCAAGCTACGAATAGACCATCTTGGCATCCTCATGGCGTCCACCAACAACCACATTTAAATTTATGTTTTTTCATTGTCTGATCCACTCAGGCCTTTTACTCCTGCTTAACAGTCATACAATCACCAATCACCGTATGAAGCTAGCGATGTTGAGACAGGAAACGAGAGTTTTTTCTCATCAGTGCGTTGGTCAAAACTTTTGTCTTCAAGTTCCTCAACAGTCTCTGTCGACCACATCCACTCGCCACCATCAACTGGTAGCCTTGGATCTCCGATCGCTGCCACTTCAGTACTAATGGGAAGCTCGACAGGTTCCCGTTCATTTCTCTTAAGTTTGAGGGTAAGATCCGCGGTCGTTACTCAATCTCTGACACCCTCCACGGACGGAAGTACTGGTGATCTGATGTCCGAGTTAACTTCATCTTGTCATCTCTTTGTTCTCCCAATGATGATTATTGAGCAACATCCACCAAGAAACGATCATTAAGA